GATTAAGCTAGATTAAGTTCAGGAGGGCTGGGATTGCTGTATTAATCTTTGCAGCCCTAGGATGTTTCATTGACTGATATAAAAAAGGATTAAAATAAATATTGTTTTAAAGAGTCAATTAATGGTAATAAAACATACTCTTATAAGACAAGAACCAGAAAACTACAGCCTGTATACCAAATCTGGCCTGTGACCTATTCATGGGCTATGAATGGATGTCACATTTTTAAGTGGTTGGAAAAAAAATCAATCATTTTAGAAGAGAGACTCTTAGGAAAGGGAATGACAGGTGTGAAACACGGTGGCAGGGAATAAGGGTGGATACAATCAAAGCACAATATATACCTGTATGGAAATGACACACTGAAACCCATTAATTTGTAATATTAATATGTATTCCTAATTATAATAAGTCAAATGAATAGTTTGTAATACATGAAAATTACATGACTTTTAAATTTCAGTGTCTTTAAAGTTTTATTGGAAAACATTCATACTCATTTGTAAAGTATATGTGTCTGCTTTTCCACTACAACAGCAGAGCTGAGTAGTTGTAATAGAGAACATATGGCCACAGGTATTAAAATACTTATTAGTTCTATACAGAAAACATTTGTCAAGGCTTATTGTAATAATTCCCCCTTTTTTTCTTTCAATGGAAATATAGCCTTTGGTCTCACATTTTTCATTTACTCTTTATCTTAGTCACATTGTCAAATAACAAATGGAAGATAAAGAAGTATTTGACATTTCATAATATATAATTAGTGGAGATAATAAGGAAGCCTAAATTTATTTATTTATTTATTTATTTATTTTTTTTTTTTTTTTTTTTAGAGGAGGGAAAGTTTATTTTGGTTAATGGTACCAGAAGTTCAGTCACTGGTGGATCGACCCTTTGCTCTGGATCCAAGTGAGGCAGTCCAAGTCTGATCATGGAAGTCAGGAAGCAAAGAGAGGGAAAGGGGAAGGGACTGCAGGGAAGATCAACCCTTCCAGGGGACACCCTCAGTGACTCACCTCCTCTAGCCATGCTCTACCTGCCTACAAGATGGACTGATTGGGTTACAGCTCTCATAATATAATCATTTCACCTCTGAATATCCCTGTGCTAACAAAGGATATTTGGGGGGACACCTCATGTCCAAACTATAACAATATCCATGTTTGACTTTCACTACTTTCCTTTTTAATTGCTCCTCTTCTTCACTCTGGCACTATGAAGTCACTTTACAAATAAACTTCTTTAAAGACAGGCTCTGCCTTGTCAGAAATCTAAATCTAAGTTAATTACTTTTATTCTTTTTTTTTTTTTAGTGTCACAATTTGGGGGTGGAGGGCACTGGGAATTGAGCCCAGGGATACTTTACCACAGACTACCTCCTGATCTTTTTTATTTTTAAAATTTTGAGACAGGATCTTGTTTAACTGGCTTAGACCTCTCTAAATAGATGAAGCTGTCCTTCCTCTTATAATCCTCCTGTCTCAGCCTTGAGGAAGCCTAAATTTAAATAGAGATGAAATATCTGCTCACTATAAGATCTGAATTGTATGACTTAGGTTCACTGATGAGATGTTTTGCCTAGCATCACTATTGCTTAATTATTCAGACTTCATATTTAACCACATTTATGTTTAATATTTTTAAACTGAAAAGACCCAACACATTTCCTAATAAACTTCACTTAATATGGGTTAGAAAATCTTACCCTAAAAATTACATTGATGTATTCTGTGTCAGAAAATGATATTGATATATCAGAAATAATTTATATAGTGTATACAAAATCATACTGAATTTTTACACTACCAGGGAAGCTCCACATCATGTACAACCACAAGAATGAGATCCTATGCTGGGCATGCTGGCACATGCCTGTAATCCCAGCAGTTTGGGAGGCTGAGACAGGAGGATGGCAAGTTCAAAGCCATCCTCAGCAAAAGCAAGGCTCTAAGAAATTCAGTGAGACCCTGTCTGTAAATAAAATACAAAATAGGACTGCAGATGTGGCTCAGTGGTTGAGTGCTGTGAGTTCAATCCCTGGTACCCCCACAAAAAAGAATGGGATCCTAACTAGAATAAGCTACACTTATGTATGTATAATATGTCAAAATACATTCTACTCACATGTATATCTAGAAATAACAAATAAAAAAACATACTGAATTTAAGTAATATTTGTATAAAAACCAATATATCTATATTTAGCAATAGTTTTATGATACAAGGGGAGATGGGTGACCAGAAAGTACTTCTGATATATGAATATACAATTTTCTTTTCTACACTTTGCATTTTTATAATTTCCAGAAGTTTTCAAACACTGTTATTTGATCAATTTAAAACAAAAATGTCTTAACCTTTGAGAACTTGCATTGAATTTACTGCCTGCCCAGAAAGTTACTTGATGAACAAAGGACTAGACCTGAGGGTGAGTGGCTTAAAAAATGAAAAATACAAGGGAAGGCACAGTAGCCAATAATAAAATTAGAGCCAGGGCCAACTTTCTGCTGCTGTTACTGTTCTTGGAAGGAAAACACACAGACTCTTCAAATGGAAAAAAGTATCGCATGATGGAACCAATTAAATAAAATACTATACTTAATTGCCCTTTGGAATATTCTATGATGGGCAAATATTATGGAATAATTTTAGAAACCTCCAAAGAAATTTTATGTACTAATAAACATATATAGTTTTGAAGACCCTAAAGTAATATTATGAAGGAAAACATTTCAAGTCAACTTCACTTTTTAGGGCAAATGCTGATGATCAGGTGTGTTGGTCAGCTTTTCATTGCTGTGCCCAAAATACCTGACAAAAACAATTGAGATGAGGGAAAGTTTACTTTGGCTCACAGTTTCAGAGTTTCAGCCGATGGTCAGCCAAATCTGTTGCTCTGGGTCAGAGGTGAGGCAGAACATCATGGCAGAAGAATATCACAGAGGAAAGCTGCTCTCAGCTCACAGGAGCCAGGAAGCAGAGAGAGAATGGGGGACAAAATACATAATCTCCAAGGGCACGCCCCCAATCACCTACTTCCTATAGCCATGCCCCACCTGTATATAGTTACTGCTTACTTAGTCCATTCAAATTAGTATGGACAGCTCTCAGTCTGACCATTTCACCTCTGAACATTCCAGCATTAACATAGGCACTTTGCCGTGGCTCACATACAAATCACAACATCAGGTGAATTTTCTAAAAATTATAGAAAAAGCCAAATAAAGTCTATAACTTTCACACCCTAGCTACCTTGACCAAAAAGGAAAATTAAGAAGCTTTTGGGATTTCATGGATTCTATAATTCCTTTTTCAAGTAGACCAAGAACTTAAGAAGGGCAAATGTAAGAAATGCGTATAAAGCCAACCAATGACTGGCAGGTATTATTTCATAAAGAAAAATAGTTAATTCACCATGAAGGAAAATGTTTAGTGATTTCCCAGCTGTTAGAATTGTTTAATAATAACTCTTATAGTAAAGTGTGAAATTGTTTCTAAATAACATATGCAGAATGCAGAAAGGGTAGGTTGTCAAGCAGAACTGTGTAGATTTGTATTATTTCTTGTGGCAGACTGCTAGCAGATTACCAATCCCATTTCCTTTCATTTCTGGGCACACAGCCGATATTTTCCAGTTCCCTTTGTATGTATGTGTATATATATATATATATATATATATGGCCACAGAACTGTTGGCCAGTGGGATGTGGGTAGAAGTGATTTATGCCTCTTTCTGACTGACCATTACATCTCTCACACCTTCACTACTACTCAATCGTTCTTCTGCTAAGTGAACGGAGAGGACTCTGCAAACATAGATGGGAAGACCACAGGATAGAAAGAACCTTTGCTGCTTTGAATAGAGCCACCTGATCAGGAGTACCTACATTAGGCTGTTTTGGGATCATTAGTCTGTCCTGTGCAGTCTCCATTTTTAGGCAGGTGTTAGCTATGTGTAAATGGCTATATCCACTCTGACTTTAAGCAGACAACTGAAATCACTGAACCAGCTGATCACACTTAAGAGAAGTCTTGTCCAAGGGGATCTTTCAAATTTATACCAGGTTCTCCCAACATTGAAAAGTACCACTGATGGGAAAATTGTTTCCTTAATCATGTTTAACTCAAGTGGAGGTGTTGTTATCTGGGTTCTAATTGTCCACTAGTGAAGCAATATGATGGCTCTCTAGTTGTTTTGCAATGTCCCTAAATTTTTGTTTCAGATTACATCTGATAATTTGCACATAAAGTAGGAGATATCACAATATGTTCCTACATAATTATCAAATAATCTTCTACAAAAACATTTTTTCCTTTAGTATCCTAGGTCAAGAAAAAATCTCCAAGGTCATTTTACACAGTCTCTTCTCAGGAGGCAAGAGGGATCTTCTTTTTTAAAAACTTATTTTGATTTTTTTTAGTTGTTGATGAACCTTTGTTTTATTTATTTATATGTGGTGCTGAGAATCGAACCCAGTGCCTCACACATGCTAGGCAAGCACTCTGCCACTAAGCCACAACCCCAGTCCACAAGATAAGATCTTCTTGAGCACCAGGGAAACTGACCTCAGAAACAAGTGATTTTAAGCTGGGCATGGGGGTATGCTCCTCTAATCCCAGCTACTTGAGCTGAGACAAAAGGATTATTTGAGCCCAGGAGTTTGAGACCAGCTGGGCAACACAACAAGCGCCCATCTTAAATAGAAAAAAGAAAGAAATGTAACATTTCTTATAAGGTAGCTATGCCTGGCAGTTCTGTGGAGATGAAGAGTCAATTAACATATTCCACAAACTAAATCCTTGAAGACAACCAGCAATAATTATCACCAATGAGCTTAAACATGGTCAAGCACTTTCTTCCTTGAATAAAATTTATAAATATTCACTCATCCAAACTGCTTAATGTTCTACATTCTGATTACTTGAGTCTTGCCAAAAAAAGACACTTAATAAAAGAAAGTCAACTCAGGCAATAATAGGCTGCCTCAGACCAAAATGACATTAAATGTTTTTATTGAACAGAAAAAAGATAAAACATGGAAGTTGAATTCTTTGAGCAAAAGCAGCTCTCCAGGTGAAGCTGCTATACTTTGTGCTAAATAACCTTATGAATTGAGAGTATACAGAATACACAGAATATGTAAGTTACCTCAACAGCAAAGGAGAAGGAGGAGAATACAATTTTTAAGATAAAATTGGGTCAAGTGACAACTTTAGTTGCTCAAAATTTCTAGCCCTTATCCACCTATGGTTCTACACATGTGTATTCAGTATGTGCACACTGAATTCCCATTTTAATGGAAGCTGCTTTTAAAAGATTTTTTAAAATTTCATATTTATTTGATGTGACACTCAATGTTTAGAAATCCCTATCCAAGTATGTGTGTATGCATTTGCGCACACTTTAAAAACCCCAAACCTTTTTTTATAAGTAGAGGGGTCATGCTTTTTTAAAGTTAACATTGGTGAATTTCAGTTATTTCTCCTGTGTGTCTAAGAAACTTTATATGTTCTCAATGCACCCACACAGTCAGGTGGGTTGACAGATACATCAAAAATACTTCATGAAAAGAGGGAGGTAGCTCATGCGAGTTGGCAACCTTTTGTGTATTGTTTCCTGCTAGAGCAGGCTGCCTCCCTTTGACATCTTACAGTCAAAGATGAAAGGAAAACTTTTTACTTTGAAGCCTAGTAAGCACAGTTGTACATTTACTATAATCCACCTTCAAATTGGCTTATAATGTAAGATGACAAATACCTTACACCCAGTACACAGCATTAAAAAGTACTGAAGAAACAGTTCATAGACAATACTTTTTTTCATATGTTAAACAGCTTCTATGGGATACATTTCCAGGATGGTTTTGTTACCACTTTATAAACATTCTAGGCCAAACGAACAGCACAAATAACATCAATGTTGTCTTTTTTCCAATATCAGTATCAATTACTGGAGGCTAATCCTAACAGATATACTACTTAAGGGGAGAAAAAGAAGAGAATCATGACACATTGCAAAGATAGGACTACAGCATCTTAGTTGTAGGGATGATCTTAAGGTGCAGAAAGAGGGGACTCTCTAGAAGGTGATGGTGTGGTTTCTTCAGGTGGAAAAACTGTGAGTGTACAAGCTCGAATACCACCAAGGGATTCTGGGAGATCAAAAACTTTATGCCATTCATCTTTGTCTGGATCATATTTCTGCACTATCTCTACCATACAACGATTATTCCAAGAATACCCACCAACTACATAGATTTTGTTTTCAAAGACAGCAACCCCAACATCACTCTGCCCTCTTAACATGGCAGCAATTGGGGTCCACTGGTCAAGGATAGGTGAATAGTATTCACAGCTTAGGACATCATCATAATCACTGGTTCCTCTGAAATGATTGCCGCCAATGACATAGAGCCTTTCTCCCACTGTACACATGCAATGCAGACCTCGGACAGTGGTCATTGGTGCCTTCTGGATCCATTTGTCAGTATCAGGGTCAAAGCACATGAGCTCCTTTTGGAAAGTGTCATGAGTAATTCCTCCTAAAGAATGAGAATAATAGACATGAGGTAAAGAGATCATAAAAATGGAAAAGTAAAGGCTAGTATAGATAATCAACTTTTAGCTATGTTTTGTGGCATAGTATAGTTTATCAATAGTGTTTTTATAAATATTTGCTCTCTATAAATATTCTTTAGGTTAAAAATAAAGAAAATACGACTTTCATCTTCTTATAGAATGAAAAAGAAGCTTATATTGCTGCAATGACTTTGTTAAATTAGGGACCCATCATACATAAGAGGCTTTATCAAGTAAAATATATATTTTGGCGACTATTACAGTTGGGTTTGCAGTAAATGCAAACTACATTCACTCCTTACTGCTTTTTAGTGGGCACCCTCTGGTGCTGAGCACTGGGCTATAAGAGCACTTTAAATTCCAGGTGCCCATTTCCTCTCTTGCAAAATAAGAATATCCACCACAGTTTTCTCATTAGGATTGGGACTATGAAATGAGATATTTATAAAAATGCTTTTAAAAAGTTGGAAGTCTTATGCAAATAATGTACAAGCTTATAGGAATATACAGAATTGTTTGTTTTTGTGGAGTTTTTAGTAGACGGAATGAGTAATGCCATCTGCTATTGGAAAATATATTTAAAAAGTTAAAGAACTAGAATGCTGAATCTATGTAGAAATTTATTTCTGCAGGATTTTGCTGCTCATCTATTAAGTCCATATCATCTAAAAAGTATATATTCTTATATCACACATAAATCAGTCTGTACAATGAATATGAACATATCAGACTGTATCTTTTTTCAGACAAAGCTAATCTTTAACCATATCATTCAAAACTATACTATCAAGTAGCCAAATGGCAATCATTATTTGCTGTTGCTTTATAGTATTATTCTATGCTTTAAAGAATTCCCAGAAAGCAAAATAGTATTCATTGGTTTGAAAATCAGCTTGCTTCCTTTCCTACCCTTGATTTGGAAGGTAATTTCTGCAATATTTCCCAGTTATGCTAAAGCACCACTAAAACAATTCAGGTGTCATTTTTCCCCCCAGGGGATTTGGAGCTCTCATTATAATGGAATAGCAGCAACACACATAAAATAGGTAGATGGTATAAATCATTGACTAGTGGAGCATATGATTTCCTGGATGGCTCTTTCAATATAAGACATCCTATAGTTGCTCATGAATTTAACACCAGAAACCTGCCAATCACACACTACAGTCCTTTCTCTGATCCTTCTTGATTACAGATTTCATAAGGCAGTGTTCAGACCACAAACAATCCCTTAATTCCTTTGTTCTCTAATAATGCAATTGCTGCATTAGCACTGCCAGGCCTTCCAATAAGGTAAAAAAAATGTCATAGGCAGACTGTATGAGTGCCAAATGATAAGAACCTGCCTAACAAAATTATATGTCAATATCAGTGGTGATCATTACATTAAGCAAGGTTTTTTTTCCTAAATGCTATAGAAGGATGATTTGAACATCAACAATTTGAGAGTGAGTTATTATTGGAACACTGAATAAAGAGTAGCCATTTCAAATTTTTAATAGAAAATATCTCTGCATGTGCCTGAAATACAGATACTTAGCACAGAATTATTCCTGTAATGATACCATAGGAGAACTGCATTACAATGCCAAGGAAAAAAGAAATGTATTTACTAAAGATTGCACCAAAATACTGAACATTATGCATTATTATGCATGTTTAATGCATAGTAGAGTTTATGTTATATAATTATATATTTCCTCACATAGTTCAGCTAAATTTTAAATAAAATGAATTAGTTGCTGCTATATGTGAATAGTGTTTATTATAATACAGGGTATGGGAACTGGAAAATAAACTGGAGAATCTGAATGCTTTCCAATTTCTTCTAAGCTACACATTTATAACAAGATTGGTTTGCTGCTAGTCTTACAAACTTATAGAATGCCTAAAGCATGTTTATGCAAATGTACATACAATAATACCTTCTTAAGCCAACATTAATTTATATTTTGATTATCCATTTTCTGAATTATTACTATCAGTATATACAAAGAAGATCACATAGTTAAAAGTACACATATATTGTGTTCACATGATATTTTTTTACCTGAAATATACATCACTCCTCCATACACAGTTCCAGCATGTCCATAGTGAGGCTCACTCATTTTGGCAACATAAGTCCATTCATTTGTTCTTGGATTATAACATTCTACCGTAGCTATTTTAAAAATTCAAAGAAAATAACATGACTTTCAATCTCAAATTTAGCAATTTTTTTCTTTAGGCATAAAAATAATTATATATACATATCTGAGACACATATATGTGAGATCCATGGGGGCTCTTATAACAATTATTGAGATTATATTAATATGAACCATTAATAAAGTATTACATTAGACTAGATTATATAAGAGTCTAATACATTTCTATCATTGCAGAAATAACTAAGATTTCTTTTCCTTGGGAATCTGGTTACATCTTTACAATTTGACATTTCTTGAATTTCTTTGCTATAAAAAAATGAGAAGAAAACATGAAAAATATCACAAGTGAGGAAGAACACCTCAATCATGGGTCCCCCTATTGACATACCATATAGAAACAAATATAAATATATATATGAGGCAAAATTATAAACTTAGAGTGAAAGTACATGTACTGTCTGGTTTACGTCCTGAAGCCTATTGTTTTATTTCATACTCAGACTACAAAACACAATGACAATAATTTTTCCACATGTCATAGCAATCAGTACCTCTCTTAACCTGAAGATGATTGGTGGTATAAAATGAAGTTAAGACCTTAATTAAAGGTACTTCTTATCAGCAATAAATTTATCATCTTTAAATAAATCATTTTGGAGGAGTGACCTCAACTTTCTTAAATATCTTTCAATCAGTCTGTTATAAACTCAAGATCAGAACAATGACATTCCAGGCAGATGAAAAACGTAATCATTTTTTAAAACGCAGAAAGAAATAGGGCTGCTATGGGGTCTGTGGTCAAAAGCATAAGTCTAGATTGACTCTAAATGTTCACATTATTTATTGTGGACACTGCCAAATGTTAATACTATTTCTTGTCTTCCTCAACCCTGTTTTTTTTTTCTTGATAATAGAACCATAACACTACTCATGGAATCACTGCATCAAGTCCCCAAAGTAAATATAATTTTGAAGGTTCCCCTAAAGCTTTGGTCAGCCAGATGATATATTTCTACAGGGTAACACGTAAACAGAAGCATACTGAACATGGCTATTTGATCAAGTCCCTGGAATAAGGTCTAGCTACTTAAAGCCAAATGCAATCCTAACAGAGAATCAACCTTTGAATAAGATTCTCCACTTACTAAGTACAGGTAAAAGGGAGGAAAAGACACACACACGCAAACACACACACACAAATTATTTTTCTGTTGCATCCACTAATTTCATTTCTTCATCAAATTAATTTAATGCAAATTAATTTTTCTCCTACAATCAAACCTATATTTTACCACTTTTCATATGCCTTTACTGCTTTTCTGCTTACTATAGGTTTAAATTTTCAGTCTTATTTCAAAGAGTTTTACTATTTTCATCTCATCTTAATCTGCTCTCTTGCTGGTTTTGTTCATTATTTCAGGCCTGGATCCTTACCAACACTATTTCTTCTAAATCCTTCTATCAAATAGCAGGATCCTATAAATCTTTCCTCAAAATAAAGGCTACTTTCACAATTAATAACCAGTTAAACTGCCAGAAGCTCCATTTTTTTTTTTTTTTAACTATTTCCAGGCACTGAATGTCTTTTTAGGTTTTATTTTATTTTTAATTGACATATAATAATTGTACATATTTATGGGGCACAATGTGATGTTTTGATATATGAATACATTTAGATGTGTGTATATTATTATTATGTAATGATCAAATCAGGGTAATTAACATATCTGTCACCTCAAACATTTATTATTTCTTTGTAGTAAGATGTCTTTTTAAATATTCATTTCCATTTGCCTTTAGCATGACTTTCGCATAACTAATAAGCAAATCCTACTGAATGAACATTATTATCTCTTCTTTCTCTTTCTCTCTCTCTCTCTCTCTCTCTCTCTCTCTCTCTCTCTCTCTCTCTCTCTCCATTTTAACAGGGGACCTAGCATATTGATTGGTGTGTGGCATTAGCAAAGTAATTAATGGTAGAATTTTCTATGATAAAGCAATCTAATTACACATAACAGAAAAAAAAAATTAAAAGACTTCCAGAGATCGTTTTCTCCATCTATTTGAAGTCAAAGACAGGTTTGACTACAGTTGTAAGTTTTTCTTAATGCACAACTCTGCCTTGAACTTTGAAATTTCTAAATCATAACTGTCCTTTCCCATGTCTAATTCAAATGGTCTTGGGATGAATTCCATTAGGCTCCTCTTTTTCTTTCTATAGTGGAATTAGAAAAAAAATGGGGGTGGGGGGTACTGGGGATTGAACTCAGGGGCACTCGACCACCAAGCCACATCCCCAGGAGGCCTATTTTGTGTATATTTAGAGACAGGGTCTCACTGAGTTGCTTAGTGCCTCACTTTTGCTGAGGCTGGCTTTGAACTCAAGAACCTGTCTCAGCTTCCGGAGCCACTGGGATTATAGGCATGCGCCACCATGCCCAGTAGAGTTAGAAATAGTTAATCACTCTTAATTGTTGTTAATATTTTCTGATGTAAAAAGACAATGATATTTTTCTGTCACTGAATTATATTTTTTTCCTAATAAGGTTCATAAGAATCCATCTAGAAGACTTTCTCACACAGAAGCCTCTAAGTGCAGGATGGATATTAACCACCAATAACACAATAACTATAAAATAGTTCATCATCCCTAAACTTTTCTTCTTCCATTTAATAATCTGTCTTCTTCAGCTTTTCTAGTCCTTCAGTCTTTTTGTTAGCCTTTAGATTTTCTCTATACAAAATTGCTGTTATTAGTAAAATCAATAATACTTAGTTGAAAAAGAAATCCATCTAATTAAAAAGAAGAAAACATGCTCCTGTTTCTATCTTCCATAATTACAAAACAATCAGCTACCGATTGATGCCAATAACTTTTATGGGAAGAGCAGGTAAGGGATGATACAGAGCAATGATTTGGAGCCCCAAAGCGATGGCTCTATCATAACCTATGAGAGTTGGGAATGATAAGGGGGCAACTAGAAATTTCTAGAGCATGGGTCAACAAACTTCAGCCTGTGGGCCAAATTTTTGTATGGCCCACAAGATAACACTATAAATGCTTTTACATTTTTAAAGTATTGAATAAGAATTGAAAGACTATTTGAAACATACAAAAAATATATGAAATTCAAATTTCATTGGTCATAAATCATGCTACTTTGAACCTAGCCTCACCCATTTGCACTATAATAGCAGAATTGAGTGGCAGATTTTGACTCACAAAAACAAAAATAAACACTTCTTGGACCTTTACAGAAGTTTAATGACCACTAATCTAGATATTTGATTTCAGGAGTCTAGGGACCTGGTGTGTGAGTGAGAGAACCTCACCATTTTAAGAATTACACTCAGTTTGGTTATTTCATATTTATCAGGGATCCTTATTTTCTCAGATGATTCCACTGGGGTCCCAAATTGGACCCAAAAGATGATGTGAAACTTACTTGTTCTTTAAGATTTGACCTGAATAAAATAATTTGTACTCTAAAGGCTCCCATTGAGCACGGATGGTCTTTAAAATCCTAGGGTGCTGCTTAGTGTTCAGGAAAAGCCCAGATCCATTAAAGAATATGGAGACATTTTGCACATTTTAGTAATTTTATTGTACATTTATTTGAGAAATCAAACATGTTTTCTATAAGTTATTTTATTACTTGAAAGCTTGACTTATTAATATTTAACTGAATGAAAGATATCACAGCTGTCATATTCTTCTTCAATATAAAAAACCTCAATGGAAGATCAATTTCTCACATGACATAATTTTGAAAGATGCTAGAAATAACTGAATCCTTTTTCACTTAAGTGACAGCTCCTGTAAGTTTCCCCTAGTTTCCAATTGTAACTAATGTCAGGGAAAGCAATATTTCCAAAGGATTGTATTTCAGCAATAAGCCAGGCCTGCAGACATACTGCTAGTCTTTCTTTGACGTACTATGGACTTAGCTTTTCTTTAGGTCCATACAATCCATAAAAATGATTTTAATAAGCCAAATATATTACAATGATCAAAAATATCTTACAAATTTTCCAGTTTTCTTTTTATAAATACACAAAGAAAATGGTTATTTGTACATGGAAAATAAACGATGTACTGGTACTAATAAACTTGCTAAACTCTTAAATGACTTCTGTATCAGTCCCTTTTCTTGCTACCCATTTCCACCCCTTCTCCATTGACACAGGCATATGAATATGCCAATGTATTCAGTTGTAAGATAGAAATGCTCCTTTATTATACAAATAATTAATAAGATGTTAGTGGGTGTGGAGGGTGGATGCATTAAAAAAAAAAAAACAGTGGCTGGGGAGGCTGAGGCAGAAGGATCAGAAGTTCAAAGCCAACATTCACAAAAACAAAACGCTAAGCAACTCAGTGAGACTCTTGTCTCTAATAAAAAAAACAATAGGGCTGTGGATGTGGTTCAGTGGTCAAATGCCCCTGAATCCAATCTCTGGTACTCAGAAAAAAATAAAAACAACAACAAAAAAATCCAACAACCTATGGAGCAGAAGAAAAGTTTAAAAACTCAGTCTCTGGCTTGAGAATTCTGAAATATAAACAAGAGTTTCTTTAGAACCAAAATCTACTATTCTGTAAAAACATTGGGATCAGGAAAACTGAAAAGGGCAACTGAACATTTTTTTCTTATTTATAAAAAGAGATTATTTTCAATGGGTAGATTCCAGAAGAACTTGTTGATATTATTTACTATGAACAGAGGTAATCAGGAAAAATTACATCACATTTGGTTACCTTGATAATACAGAATATGAAAAAAAAATGGGTCCCACTTAAATATAATATAGGAGAAAGTCAAAGGGAGTATAGGAGGTGGCCTGGGGAGCAGGGAATGTTCTTATTTAAGTAATGATGTTTTAAGTAATGATGTTTTTTGAGGGGTGGGAGCTGAACCGGGGATTGAACTCAGGGTACTCAACCACTGAGCCACATCCCCAGCCCTATTTTATATTTTATTTAGAGACAGGGTCTCACTGAGTAGCTTAGCACCTTGCTTTCCCTGAGGCTGGCTTTGAACTCATGATCCTCCTGCCTCAGCCTCCCAAGCCACTGGGATTACAGGTATGTGCCATTGCCCTGGGCTTAAGTAATGATTCTTTTTTACCTGAAGGCTTTCTTGGAATTCTGACCTTCAATTTGAGTATACTTAAAAGTTAATCATGTAATTTTTAAAACAACTCCTAACATATTTTAACTTAAAATATTTAGTATTTTAAGAGTGTATTTGCTGGATATGCTGGTTTTAAGGGAGGCAACCATTTTCTATAAATGTTTAGTTACTTAGATTACATATCATTTCAAATTGGATAAATTATCAAAAAAGATTAATTGGAGAGTTATTTCTTGGCATGGAGAGTTGGTATCTACATTACAATCAGATTGCAGTTTTGAAAATACAGTTTAGGAAACAAAATAAACATGAACCTATATCATCTAGAGGGGGATTTTTTTTAAAGAAAGTCATCCTTAGGGTCAGTTTGGGAGATTTTATTTTTCAAGCCTAAATATAGTCAAATAGTTAATATTGATTTAGGAATAGCTCACAAAGGCATGATTTACTTGTTTCTTTTCACTCAGAAGACTATTTTCATCAGAGGTAGAGAGCTGGTATCTAAAAGTTGTGATCAAAGAAGACTGTGCATATGCCACCTGCACAGTGGGGTAGTTTCTTTCCTATTCCTAGCTGGGTACAATGCGAGAGAAACACAAAGAGTACAGGGATGGGTCAGAAAAAGGGGGATGCTAACTTTTTAGCTTCATGTAAAGACTCTCTTTGGCCTGAAGATAATAAATCCCAGAAGTGTAAGGCTCCTAATTAATATTAGAAAGAATATATTGAAAACTTAGTTATTGCATATTAACATTGGTGATAACATTAAAAAACAAGCACGGATTTGAGGAGGAAAAAGAAGCTATTTCATTTGAGAATAGAAGTTTCAAAATAACCACTGACTGCCTGAGTTAATGACCTATAATTTATGAAATCTTAAAGAATTTCATATACTAATTGTATTTCTAAGAAACCACAAAACTGCATCTCCTGGATATTTTCACATACCATAAATTTACATAGTAAAATAACATGAAAATAATATGTATGGGTTGACTGAGGGGACCTGAAATGACAATTCTACACTGAAGTCACTAATGCCTCAAATGCTTTTAAAAGTCTGATTAATAAAGTATGTTGGGAAACATATATACTTGGTGATCATGCCACCTAGTCCAAAAATCTAGAAAGTTTGGTCTTAGGAAAAAAATATGGTAACAACAAGGGGGAAAACTGGGTGATAAAGATGAGTAACATTAAGAGCATGACACTAACAAGAAGGAGTTTTAAAAACAGGAAAGTATAGGAGCTGAGAGTAGTACTTTTCCCCAATACATAACATAGTCTCACCTCCATTCAACTACCTTTCATTTCTTAGAATACTGGGAAGAAAAGATTCTGAGAAGTACTCTGAATTTATCCAGAGCCAATGCCAACATATACAATATGTTGACCTTCCCCAGTATTATGGAGCCTGGAATATTGGCCAACTACAAGGACTCTACAACAGAAAGTCAAAGAAGGCAGGTAAAAAATAATAATAATCACAGATGTATGTCACAATATAAAATGAAGTCTTCCTGCCTTTCTTTCTAGACAAGCTATATTATCCCATTTGGTCTAAAATTAAAAAATATATATATACCTTTTAAGTTAAATTTATTTAGCCAAATTATTTTTATGTTCAAGTTTACTTATCAATAGTCTTAGACAGCAAATACCACTGAATAGCTTACTAGGTCAGTTTACAATGAAGGAAAACTGATATTTCAACAAGAAAATAATTTTTAAAACTAAAAGTCACAGATCATAATACCATAAATAAACTTTAGATAATATTGAACTTCATACATTAATCTATAAAGAGCATTATATTGCTATATAGCCTCTAATAGAGGACAAACTATGGAACGAGACAAACAACAAAAGTCAGTTCTCTGTAAAGAAGGATTTTAACCTATTCAGTAAAATATCCTAGTGGGCTTTTAAAACTAGAAAATGAGGAAACACCCCAAACTTCTGCTCAAGATTCTATTAGAATTTAAACTAATTGAATGCACTTCATAGTTGAATTTTCAAGATGAAAACTGTACATCCTACACAAATAAAATGTTCTGCAACATATTCATGTATTAAGAAGATAAAATTTGCACTCTGGCCAACTATATCTGTCCAGACAAGCTATACAGATGGTCTCTAATATTTTTAAAGAAAAAAATGTTTTAAAATGAAACCCTAGCTACATTTTGTCTATACTTGTCCTGAACTGTTTATTTTATGATTCAAAATGGATTTCTGGGTAAAAAAAGAAATTGGTCTCTATGCATAAAAGTAAATGTGTATACTTACGTAGTTCCCCAGCTGCATTTCGCCCACCGACCGCATACAGATATCCTTTGAGGGCACTTAGGTGGAAGAAGGTGCGCTTTTCATTTAAAGATGCAACTTGCATCCATTTATTGTATCGAGGATCAAATCTGAACACTGTATCGACTGCTGTTTTTCCTTTTGTGTCATAATTACTCTGTCCACCAACGACATAGAGGAAATTTCCAATGACGGCAATGCCATGCTGGTACCTTGGGGCATCCATGGGGGCTAGGGACTTCCACTCATGGGCCTTCTCATCATACATGCGCAGTTCCTTACTGACAACCAGCTGCTGTCTCAGCACACCTCCTAGGGTAACCAAATGAGTGGTGTCAGACCGAATGGCAGTCCTGTCTGACTGCATAACTGGCTGCATGTATGGCATCATTTGGTAATTGCTGGCTTCCAAAAGCAAATTCACGCAAGTATTGTCAGTTCTCATGAAATCCACTGTTTGCACGTAATTAATGAGCTCCTGTGGTGTCATCAGTGGAAATCGTATGTTCTTCATTAATTTTGCAGCAAAGTCCATCCGAGGCTCTTCCAGGCGAAGCCAGCGACAGGTAGCCTTAAAGAGCTCAAGTTCAGTGCAATGCTTAAGGCTATTACTGGAAAGCACAAAGGCAAGACGCTCGAAAGGGAGTTTCAAGAACTCTCCGGTGCTCAACAATGCAGGAAAATTCTTTAAGACAAAACTGTTAACGTATTTATCCACTTCGGTCAGATTGTAGGTGTTGGCAATCCGCCCAACTTCGACACAATTGTCTAACGTGACCTATTAAACCAATAAAAACAATTCAAACACGGCTACTTTCTTGACAGTCATCTCAAACAAATACCTGTTCTAGAATAAGAGTGAGTTATGCTTCTTACTGTTCATACAGATTCAAATAAAATTTTTATCCAAATGCATTATTCATATAAAAAGAATACACAAATGACCTTTACCTAATTCAGTAGAAAGGTGATTAAGAGACAATGATCAGTGAGTAGATTACAAGTTAATCTAAGAAACAATGAGAAAACTTGACTGTGGCCAAAATAGTTCCCTTTCCTCAAAAAGTACCACACCCCACACAGAAAAAAAAAAAAAAAGCACTAATAAAATCTTTGCTAGATGGAAATTTGGAAAAATTGAGAGTTATTAATTATGGTTCATGTCTATTCACTTCGCAGTTTTATATATGAATTTTGTGTGACTTATTGAACATACACCAATCTGCATGAATGATATTGGTTTGGGGTATATATTGCTTGTATATGGGCAATGTATCTTTCCTTAGGCACTCTCTTACTCTCAGCATATTCTAGCTCTGTTTGGAGTTAAAATGAGCCCATAATGATGTCCCCAGCATACACTAAAACACACTATAAAGCAAAAGATCTGGCAAAAGAAAGAAGTTTAGAAGGATCCTTCCTCAGCAGGATCTCTTTTCAATGTCTAATCACTGTCAAAAGGAAAATTATATCAGCAAATATAATGCAAGAAAAATTCACATAAGCAAACCCACTATACAAATGTCAGTACATGTGTATGCAAGCACAGAGACAGGTCATAGACAAAGGACTCAAATGTGTACATGTGTATGTAGTTTTAATTTTTTCGGGGTGTATGTTCAATAAGTCACACAAAATTCATCAGTGCATTGTTAACTTATTGTTAGCAAATGTTTTAGATGGTTAAAACCAACTAATCCTTCTACTGACATTTCATTTAAAAGTTGAAATGAAGCTAAAAGTAAAATAACAGTCTGCATAAAATAACAGTCCAGTTAGGATGTTACAGCACTCAAAGCTTTGAAATTAACTGGATGTGGTGCTGCACACCTGTAATCCCAGTGGCTTGGAAGGTTGAGGCAGGAGGATCACAAGTTCAAAGCCAGCCTCAGCAAAAGCAAGGTGCTAAGCAACTCAGTGAGACCCTGTCTCTAAATAAAATACAAAATAGTGCTAGGGATGTGGCTCAGTGGTTGTGTGACCCTGAGTTCAATCCCTGGTACCCCCCCTCAAAAAAAAAAGCTCTGAAATTAACACAAATGGCTATTTTCCTAGATTTATTACTCAGAAAGTATTTGTACTCTTCTAAGCAACTGATTTGCTTTACAAACTTCTTCAAAATATCTGATTGCTTATTCTGCTGTACCATATATATAAAACTGCCTACAACATTACTGTAGTACACAAGAACTAGGAAAATAAGAAATTATGGGCCTCTAAAAATGCATTGCTTAACACTGTATCTATACTTTGGATTTCTAATATGAACAATAAAAGTTCATGTTCATTCACTTAAGACTTGTGGATTCATGTCTGATAAAATTTTAAGTTGTAGAAGTAGAATTAGAGATAACAATTGCCCAAATAACCCTAGGTAGTTAGGGGTAAGGGATCTACTTCTGAATCATCATATTCTTCACAGAAGGAGTAAGTATTTTATAGTTCATTTACAACAGCTACCATAGAGTACATAGCAAAGATTAAAGTCTATGAATATCAACAATAACAATTAAATTTGCAATGATAGAAGGGATTAAAAGTGTAATGCCTATTAAATTAACACAGCAAATTACTAGAATCTTACTCATTTAAAAATGAGTCACATAGGAAAAATATGTACTAGAAAGTGAATTCTCAACAAGTGCATGTATTCAAAGGTAAAACATTAATCATAGAATATAGAGATTAAAAAAGCAAAGTCTAGAATAATGGATAAAGATATAGTGGACCAAAAATTATGGAAATGATAAATAATTCTGGAAAAATACTGGATTATTCTACCATGGTTCATTTTAACCCACTTCCAAGTCATTATTTTTATTTTTAACTGATACCTAAAAACAAAAAAAAATATACATATTAATGAGGTATCAAGTAATGTTTTAATACTAATCTACATTGCATAATGTTCACATTAGGTTAAACATATTTATCTCCTCAAAGGTTTATCATTTCTATGTGCTGAGAACTTTCAAAATCAGTAATGATTGACAAAATTGTCTCAACTAGCAAATCTCCAAAGAGATCGGATGGTATTAATAAATGAGTAGGTGCTGTAACATAATACAATGTATGTATGTAATAGACTACATTACACATTGAAAACATAAAATATGAAGCTTAAAGATTATTTTCAAAATTTCTAAGTAGAAAGAATACTAATTTCGTCTGAATTCATCTAATTTCATCTGAAAACCTGGCCAAAATTCCAAAGGTACATTTGAAAACAAAGTTATAAGAGAAGTTAATCCAAATAATTATATTGGCATTTAAAAGGCTAGCACAGCAAAAAAAAAAAAAAAAAAAAAGACAAAATTACTCAATCATCCCCAGTTACATCCCCAGTCTTTTTTATTTTTTATTTCGAGAAAGAATCTCACCAAGTTGCCAAGGCTGGCCTGGAAAGTACCATTCTTCTGCCTTAGCCTCCTAAATTGCTGGAATTTCAGGCATGAGCCACTATGCCCATCTTAAAAATATTTTAAATAAAGAGCATCACCAAGTCTAAAGCACTAAGGAATCTGTATTGTCTGATTAAATGTGTTTATATAAAAGGAAAATGGTTGCTTTGTCAACTTTATTCCATTTTGTTTATTCTGTATATTCAAATTGTAATATATCTAGTTCAATTACAAACATCCTGTATCAGCAAACTAATGTTAAAATATTAAATTGAGTTTATTTTGTGAGCTAGCCTGCTATCCTCCAAAATAGTAAGAGTGAAAATAGAAGATGCTAAAATTTCCAAATTCCACACAAATGACAAGTAAAAACCTTAACTCCAGCCTTTTTGTAAATCAGGGAATGACTGGAAAATATTTAGCATGTTGTAGTTATACAATGTCATAAGGATAAAAACAAATATAATTTTTAAAGTTATATGACTAAAGAAAGTCATTTTCACTTTTTTCCATTGTATATAAAAGTATTTTTAGTTTTGCAGAAATTTTTACATACTATGCTTTATACCCTTATTTGTCATCCTTTTATATTCAATTCCTAGTCCTCTTTTCCAAAACTATCAATAAAATAACACAGCAAGAACAAAATGCCAGATTCTATAAACTATAATACTAATTACCACCCTAAAAGAAACATTATTACTGCACTAGATGGCAAAGTTAGATAGGGGATTGGTTCCTCTAATGAGTCTGATGCTTTGTTATCAATAAGTGGCATTTCTTTTTTTACTTTATTAATATTTTTCATTGTAGATGGATATAACACCTTTGTTTGTTTTTTTTATGTGGTGCTGAGGATCAAACCCCATGCCTCACATGTACCAGGCAAGCGCTCTACCACTGAGCTATAACCCCAACCCCAGATAACTGATATTTCTATCCTGAAGCTAAGAGTAACTTTATAATAATATTTAAAACCATCATATAAAATGCTTTCTGCATTGTCAATTTACATTTTATGTACCCTGCTCTTCTTCACTCACACAAATGATAAAGAATGATATAGAATAGAAATGTATTAAAAAGAAATTTTTCCTTCTAAAAGTTCAAATCCAAGTAGTGTTTTGGTTATGTGAGCTATAAACTCACTACATCATTAAAAACATAAAGTATTTTTCCTCCAAAACATTTGATTTCAGAATACAATTTTAAAAATATAAGACCATTATATTTTTAAATTATCCATAATAACTTAGCTCATGGGAGAACTTAAAAAAAAAAAACTTCCTTGTATAATATTTACAGTCTCTTGAAACATTCAGTTCTCCTAAGTAGAATACACACCCAAGGCTACTGTTTTTCCTATGGAAACTTGATTGCTAAGAAAGAAATGGGAAATAAATAGAGCAAAGTTGAACATATGCCTAACTAAGAAACACAATATATGAAAAAATATAAATATATGAAAAAAAAAAAAAAATATATATATATATATATATATATATACACACACACTTAAAGGAAAAGTTGAATTTCACATGTTCCTAAAACTAATAATCTTACTAAAGTTTCTAAAAAATTATCATAGATTCTAAGAGAGAAGATTCCCACTATAAAAGCATGCGGTCATATCTTTGGCAAATATGATGAAGGATAGATAATTTATAATGATGCTAAGTAAAGAGGTGTCTCCTAAAATGTTCACAGGCAAGAAAGTCCTAAAACTAAAGGAGGCAGGGATAAACTACACCACAAGCAAGCTTTGCTAGGCAGAAGCCTCTTCTCCATTAGAAATGGGTTTTAGGATGTCTGCAGAGGATACTAGGAATCAAGAATATTATCCCTAAAATAATAAATATTAAGTGTTCACACAAATGAAATAGGTTAAGGAACCTCTAATTATTAGAAATTTGTCAATCTTACAGAATTACTGTGTTCTCATCTTTAAATAAAACTGCTTTGAAAAGTTTTCTATACCAAAATTCTTTTCTATTATTTTGACAATAATACATTAATTGTGCAAATTATATACATATACACACAGAGAGCACTTATAAATCCAGCCAATGGCTAATTTAATTGCACTACTGAAAGTTTGTTTTTGTAATGTTATATGTAATATATACATATATAAATGAGACATATATTTCATATATACATAATATCTATAGCATATTATCCAGTTCTGTCTTCTTTCAGGTAAGGGGAATGATCACAACCAATATCTAAAGTTGTTAAGTATTAAGCTTCTGTACTCTTGTTAATGATTATTTCCAAAAAATCATGGCACTGCCCCTAGTTTGGCTCAGGATAACCAAGTATTCCTAAGACCAGTGTAAAACAACATTAATTAGTATAAAAGCATGAACTTTTAGATATTACTTCCAAATTAAGTATTGCAATTTAGACATTTAAAAAAATATTCAATAAAAGTTGAATGTAACTTGAAGTTGTTATAGATATCAGGTGACACAAAACAAGAGGCAAGCTACTTATTGCTTTTAAGGGAACTGACTTTGATAGAATTAAAATAAATTCTTCTGGCTGTAAATTAACTCATTATGGTGCTTGTTTTAATTTCTATAACATTTTATTGGTATGTTTAATTATACAGAGTAGTATGATTAATTATGCTATATTCATATTTAAATATAATTTGTTCAAGCTCATTCCCTATTACCTTCCTTTTCTCTCCCTTCCTCCCTGCCCCTGATCTGCTTGCTCTACTCTGTTGATCACCCTTTTATTATTATTTTTAGTGCATTATAATTATATATATGCATATGGGACTCATTATAGTATATTCGAATATATATGGACATAGCATAATGTTGTAAATTTCATTCCCCAGTTCTTCCTTATGCCTCCCTTCTCCCTCCTTCTTGATCCTCTTCCTCTATCTATTGGTCTCCCTTCTATTTTCATGAGATCCCTTTTATAATTCCCTTTTCCCCTCTATCTAGCTTCTACATATGAGATTAAAATTTTACCTTTTATTTTCTGAATCTGGTTTATTTCACTTAGCATGATATTCTCCAGTTCTATGCAGTTACCAGCACATGCCATAATTTCATTCTTCTTTATGACTGAATAAATTCCATTATGTGTGTGTATTTGTGTATGTGTGATATAACATTTTCTTTATCTCATTTGTCAACTGAAAATTAATATAACCACTTTGAAAAGCATATATATATTCCTCAAAAGAATTTGAATGGAACCACGATATGACTCAGCTATCCTACTCCTTGATTTTTATCCAAAAGAAGTAAAATAAGCAAGTTAAAATGAAATTTTGCACACAAACCCAGTAATGGTTGTAAGCAATAGCATAGGAGACTAACAAACTCCACTTGGAAGTCAAGATGATACACATCTACAATATTATATGCTGCCATAAAACTCTTAAAATAGCAATCAGTTTAAAATTTTATAGGTAATTATGAGACAGCATTCTGAGTACTCTAAAATGGGAATATACAAAAAAACATATTTTCAAGAATGTAGTTAAATTAGCTATTGGTTTGACTTTATAAGTACCTTATTTTTAAATTTTTCCAACATTTAAATACTTTTATTTTTAATTGATACATTACATAATAGTTGTACAAATGTATGGGGTAAAATGTGAGCGCTCCCTCCCTCTCCCTCCCTCCCTCTCTCTCTCTCTCTCTCTCTCTCTCTCTATATATATATATATATATATATATATATATATATATATATTCACACACATTATATAAGGATCAAATCAGGGTAATTTAGTTACAATACATCATCTCAAGCATTTATCAATTCTTTGTGGTGAGAGTATTCACAATTTTCTCATAGCAGTTTTGAAATCTAAAATACATGGCTAATTATAGTCACCCTATTGTATAATAGGCCACTAAACTTATTCTTCCTATCTGACCTTATTTTTGTACCCATTAACCAACCTCTCCCTATATCACACCTCCCACACCCCTATCCTTCTGGACCTCTAGCAAACTCTATTCTACTCTTTTTTATTGTATATTTTTAATTATACATGACAGAATAATCCATTTTGATATAATTATATAAGCATGGAATATATCTTATTCTAGTTAGGATCTCATTCTGCCTATTCTACTCTTATATGAGGTAAACTTTTCTAGCTTCCACATGAGTGAAAACAGATGTTACTAGTCTTTCTGTGCTTAGCTTATCTCATCTAACACAATGTCCTCCAGGCTTATCCATGATAGAATTTCATTCTTTTTAAAGGCTGAATAATATTACATTGTGTCTGTATATACCACTATATCCCTTCATCAATTGATGGAGAAGGACTGTCTGATTAATAAAATAATTAAGCACATGCTCTCTTGAAACTTAGTGTTTTAAAGAAGATTGCATGTTCAAAAATGTTGTTTTTAAAAGCCAAATGGCAATCATTTACCAATATTAAAATTTATATTAGTTAAAACCAATTATAAAAAGCATGCTATCCATAAATAAATAATTCAGAAAATATATAAAAAATGACTACTGCTATAATTCTTAATCATAAAAGCTAGCTCTAGGTGTTCTGGAATCTTGGCAATATTTCTGCATAGCCCAGGCATTTAGTTTCACAAAATCAAATTTAAGGATCTCAACTAAAATAAAACACTATCTTGAGAAACTGGGTGACTGCTAAGTACTCCACTGATTGGTCATTAAAAAGGCTAAACACTATTCAGTAGTTAATATGTTCCTAAGAGACCAAGACTTGTATCTTTACAGTCTGCACATAAATTTAGTTCTAGATCTTAACTCCTATACTAAAAGAAGGGAAAAAATTGCCAAAAATATTTTAACAAACTTCTAGCAGCTCAGATTACATTTCCATAGGATTCCATTAAAGACTATTGTGCAAAATCATTAAGATGAATAGAACCAAATTAAGGTATGTAACATTATCAAACAGGCTAAGGTATATCTTTATTGAACACTTAGTATTCCATGTTATTTGATTACACTGAAAGTTTTTGTTAAATGATAGTGTTTAGTAAAAATGTAGTTGTTTTAATCTAATCTTGTTTCTAGACCACATACTATGTGACACCATTCTATTGGCAAATTGCACATATCTACACTCTAAACAGGCTACAATTGGAATCTACCAAAAAAGTCTGAAAATATCTTACCCCAGATATGAGAAATACTTTACAGAAGTCCAAAACTGGCAGAATTTGTAGAAAGCTGGCAGCTTCCAGTGTGTCTTGAAGGTTGTCCATATTAAGAGAAAGCTTTGCAGTATAAATGAAATCAATAATTTTCCTTAGACCAACTTTGCTCACACCATGAAGCTTAATGCACATTAAATCTTGTTCTTTCATTCCACCTTAAATATAAAAAAAAAGACATTCAATTAAATGAAGGTGGATAATTAAGGTCAAACTCACTTCTGCTGCTAATTAGATGCAATACAATCAAGGAAAAGTCTTTTCTGTATAAGCATTCATACCAGAATCAGGCTTTTGCACATTTTACAATTAAAAGAGAGTGCTTAAAGAAGCTCATCTCTATACTAATGGAGGTAATATATGATGCAAGTACTTCTAAAATGTTCTCCTATCACCTCCTATCTTTTGATGGATCAAAGATTATATTAGTCAGACATAGAGCCTCTAATGACCCATTCAGATACAAAAAGGAAAAGCTGTGAAACAAAGATGGATGTATGAAAAAGTGCATCACCCAAACCATACATGCTGTACTTTCATGCACAGCTGTATAGCACCACTCACGATCACACATACTGGTGATTATTCCCTATGAAAGTAATAACTGAATAAATAACTGAATTTCAAATTAGAAATAAAAAGACTTAAACACAAATTTTCCATATTGTTTTAATGTGGATGCAGAGTTTAAAAAGGCAAGCTACCTGTGAACATAGCCTTGAAGTAGTCACTAGCAGATGCCATCATGACTCTATGCACAGGGAAAGCATCATCTGTATCACCTGGCATCAGGGTCACATCACAAAGCAATCCTTCAAGTCGAAGCTGGTCAAATCCCTGTAATGAGAATATAACTTGAGCCACTAATGAATGGTTAGGGTTAGAAAGCTCCAGGCTAAAATTCTATTTATATATTCATGTGGAACAACATATTTCGAAAATAGAGCCAAAAGAATAGTTACTCCATAGGGAAAAAAAAAACAAACAGCTTTCTTGATATGTAGAAATGTATATATTATTTCACTGTATGAAAAAGATAAAGTTTTAGGGCTATTTAGATTAAGAACAAATAGGGAAAGTACATAAATTCAATTATTTACACAAACATGAGATTCTACCTTGTTTTGGAAAAATAAATCATGTAGTCTTCTGTTTTCCTGTCCAAAGAGTAAGAGTATTAGACTGGACAACACTCCTTTCCATAATAATATATTAATAGCCCTATTATAGGACTTTAATGAAAGATTTTGGGGTTTGTTTTTTGAGAGAAAAAGGAGAGACTATCTGCATTAAATGCAAGATAGGAGTACTTTCTACAAATCAGATAGTTCTTTCTCTTTGAGAACTAAGGACTTTGCTATAAAAATTCCAATACTTGGTACATTGCCGCTGCTTGACCAATTATCTTTCAATTTGAAATTTAGTTATCTTTGGTAAAAGGAGGCCAGGAAGCCCCAACATAATTCTTAATTGTCCCCAAATGCTTAAAGGTTTAGCAGAGAATTAACATGATAGCACCCATAGTATGGAAGAGAGACAGGGTTCTGATAATAAGAAGAATCTTTCACCTATACCATTTATGATTCCAACCAATAGCAAATAGGCAATTGTTCCTTTGTCCCTTTGGGGAGAATGAAACACTTTTAAGATCATAAAAGTATGATTCTACAATGTATACATATTTTACAACATCATGTTGTACACAGTGAATATATACAATTTTTTCAATTAAAAATAATAAGGTCAAAGAGATTATAGCAGGCTTGCAAAATGCATCAGAAAGAGGCAACATACAATTTAAAATGAGGCCAAAAGTATGAATATTTTGGCAAGATTGAGTATGTAGATTCAAATATAGAAATATTTCATTATTAAAAAATTGGGAAGATAGAGATACAATAATATAATACAACAACAAGAACCAACATAAAGGATTAATGAATCAACTTCATATTTTAATGACCACAAATAAAAATTTCTTTAAATAAAGTTATGAGTCACAGATTTAAGAAGCAAAAGACATAACATACTAAGAACACATTTTTAAAAATATTGATTCTACACATATGTATAATACAATTCTTAGTCTAAACTTCTCATTATAATTTAAAAATTACATTTTAAAGTAAACACTTGAATCTAAAGAACTGGAACTTCAAAGAAGTTATCTGATCCAGTTACCTTTCCTCTAGGAAGAGAGAAATAGTCCTACTATCTATCTATCTATCTATCTATCTATCTATCTATCTATATATATATATACATACACACACTTTAGAACAGGATTATGTATCATATTTGTCTTGCTCCAAGAATGAATGACCTATGCTTTTGTTAACAAATATAATATCTTTCAAAAATGTGCCTTTTACTTTGTAAACACAAACATATACTCCACAACCCCTGCTTTCTCTATTACCCTGTTATTCAGAAAAGGAGAAGGAAGAGAACAATAACTCATCTTGGAAAAGAAACATCAAATTGGGGGGAATATTCTCATGCTGAAGGTAAAAAGTAACTCTTTTAAGATTCATATATGAAATCTAAAGTGTAATGAGTTTACAAGAATCACCTTCCAAATGCATGAGCATCAGGAAGTACTGAATGAGTACACTGCAGTGGGGGATGACAGTTAAGCAACTAAGAAGTCCCTCAGCTGGAAGAGTTTAGGGACTAGCATCTTTGAATTCAACAAACAAACCAACTTTTATCCAGAAGCCATCACTTGGTACTGGGTAGAACTTGCACTTTGTCGACAAGTTAACTAGGAAGTAGAAATTTATTTGTGATACCTCTCTCAATAATAAAATGAACTATGCTCAAGGTGCTTATTTGTGTAGATGGTAAAGGAAAAGTGTGAGAGAAAAGAAACCTAGCCAGAGTTTACTGAGAAAAGGTGGACTCTAAAGAATGCAGATTTTTTTTAATTCCCTCAAATAAATTTCAGGTTAACATTTTTAAATATATGCTTTTAAAAGTCAAAATACAAAAAAAATATAAGTTTAAAATTAAAAGCAAAGCTCAAGTGGGAGACCATATACATGGTTGTGCATTTTAAAATTCACTTGAGCAGATAATACGGGCAAACTGCTACCTCTCTGGAATCTTCTTCTTAGAGGCTGCAAAGTATTCTATAATGGGGACACACCATAAATTACTCATAAATTACTCTGATTGAACACTTGGACTGTGTCTTAACTTTTGAAATTGTAAGCAATGCTGCAGTACACACACACACACACACACACAAACACAGCACTTCTGAAAGTATATTTGTTGGAGATATTCTCAGAAATGGAGTTGTTTGCTAGAAAACATATGTATTTTTAACATTTTGATAGCTCATGTTAAGTTAAAAGATTTGATTTTTGTTGGGAGAAATATACCCTGGGTACTAGCAAAAAGGAGATGTCAAGATATCAGTAAGATGAGACTAAGTACTGTGTGTCTTCTTCCCTTATTTTCATTCATCAAATAATTTTTTTAATCTCCTCTAAAGCAAATGTAATCTTTGAGAAAATTCAAGCCCCATTTATTCAAAAGCAATGATTATATCCAGTTGGTTGTTTCCTACCATTAAAACAAAACCAAAAAATCTTCTTGGCTCATTTGCTAGCTCTCCTGCCTTTTAAATATTCCTACAAATATATAACATTTAGAATTGAGTAACATGAAAGGCTCCATTCCTACTATTTATTATTTCTTCTCTTTTCTTTGAAAAAAAGGTATGGCTAATTCTTCTTGTATCATTAACTATATCATTTCTTATTTTGTCCACATTACATTAAAATTGTACATGGAGACACAATCCTCAAAATCTGGATAACTCAGATCAGCTATGACATCAAAAGCCTTTACCCTCTTCACAAATTTGGTCATTTGTATCCTTTTACACTATTATAAAAAAATGTTCTACCCTTTCTCAGTATAATCTGCTATCCCAGAAGAAAAGAAACTGACATGCCTCAAAAATTTTCATCACATTTTAAGTGTTTCCTATTCTAAGCTTAATTTATCTACCTTTGGCAAATTGTATGCTTTTGTGAGGTTTTGCACTTATTTTCACTGCATGTAAAGTAGTTTGCTTTCTATACATTTCATAACCTTTATTTTTTATGCATAAATGAATAATTTCACCATCCAATTTTGTATTTGCCAATTTTATTTCAGATTATTACTATCGTTATCAAAATGAGATCTGTCAATTCAGATTATTTTCTAACACACTCTTGGTATCTTGTTTGTATGCCATTTTCTGAATATCCCAGATCTGCTTAAAGAGAAGTTCCTTCCATAATACACACTGTTGGATAGCAGAAGATAGTCATTTCTCTAACTTTTAAACTGTAAGCTTCTAGTGGAGTACACACATTAAAAGAGGAGGTCATTCTTTTTCACACTGTCCACCTGTTTTTCGGTATATTTATTTTTTACTCTCACTCTTATTATTTTTTCCTCCATTTAACTCTAGGAAGAGTCACGAAGATAGCTTGCATACTCAAAATAAATCCTTTCATTGCAAAATCATTTTCTTCCATCAAATTTGTACTCACTCTTCTCAAAAGATTTCTATAAATTATGTTATCTATCTCCATATACTAGTCAACTATGTACCTAAACAACTCTGTTTTATGTAAATTGCTCAATTTCCAATTAGCTTTCTAGACTGTCCTTAAAAACTACTTATGTTGATTTAAATTCAACAGTTTTCTTAGTTTTGTATTTTTCTACTTCTTCTGGACCTTGATTTTAAGAGGGATTTGTCTGTCCTTAATGTCTTTAATATTTCCCTTTCTATATTCTACCAATCTCCCCATATCTTCTTTTTATCCTTCATATCCTTTTGAGAGGAAAAAATGGTATTAAATGTGTTTTTCCTCCTCTGACTTAAATTCACCCAATGTATCAAAACTTTTAATACTATTAAATAGAGGGAGATATATATCTACTACCCTGAAAGACTAAAATATATTAAATGAGTTGGATAAACTTTATAATAACCACATTTAAACAGAAGATAATGAGTTGGCATTTTAGAATTATAATACTGAAAACAGACAAGATACAAATAGTTTCCTTAAAAAGTTGATTGGATGTAAATAGCTTTTACATGAAATATAATTCCATTATGGAAAAGCTACAGTGATACTGTAAGGTGTGGAAAAAACAATCTAATAGGGGCTGAAATTGTAGTTCAGTGGAAAAGCACTTGCCTAGCACATGTGAGGCACTGGGTTCAATCCTCAGCAGCATGTAAAAATAAACAAATAAAATAAAGGTATCGTGTTCACCTACAACTAAAAATATATTTTAAAAACAATCTAACAAGCAAATCTTTCCACTAACTTCTGCATTAAAAAGAACTTACTAGTTTTGATGACTGTAATTTCAAAAACGAAGTAGAGAAAACAGGAAATATATACTGAAAAAAGCAATAAAAATTACTGATGAAAAGTGTGTTTTATGAATAAAGAATAAAAACTAAAGAAAAGAAGGTTATGAAATGATTTTACTTCAGTGCTAAAATAAATGTAATGTATTTGATCAAAACAATACCAGCCATGTTTTTTATGAAGTCACTCTTCATTTTATTCATAGGAAAGAAGGAGAACAGATGTACTTATGTTAAAAGGAATACACAGGTTGAACATAAAAGTTGATATAAGTATTAAACTCTGCTCTCATTATATAACACTGCTCAGAGTTTAGAATATTCCTAATGGTTCTCTCTCACTGTATTATATCACAACTCCTGGTTTTCAATGACTTCTCTCATTTGGCCCAACTTTATTATCAAACGTTATTTTTATTATTTTCCTATGTACTATAACTCATCA